CAATCCGTATCTGTATCTGTGACTGTCCAGTATCTGTGAATGCCAATGCCCAGTGCCCATTGCCCATAGCTCACTGTGTGTGAGTGCGTGTTTATTTGCTCGTTAAATGCAGAATAAGCTACACTTAACAATTGAATAACACTCGGCATCGGCTTGGTTGTGTTTCGGACTCGACTCAACTCCCCCAAACTGGCCAGCGCGATAAGCAGACTCTCTATCCCCCATCCATTTCACTCAGCCTATTATGACATTTGTGTTTACCGCCAACAAATATGAAATTTCTAAAATTAATTTCGATTCATGTTTCCGAATTAGCGTCGGTTATCATGCCCTTTATGACTGCGACTATCACACCGACGATAAATTGTAAAAACTGTTTATTAATGGCAAAAATGATACTCTGGAACGTCTCTCTGGGCATGAACCTTGATCGCAAAATAATAAACAAATAATCGCTATTTCTATGAGTAATTTATAGCAATATAATGGTAGCTGTTCGGTGAGTAGTCAGTAAGATATTGGTTCGGGGGCAAAGTTATGGGAATCTAGTCCGAATTTCTTTTATAGCTTAGAACAACTTGTCTTGTAAATATTAAAAAAACCACTTAAGAATTCCTATATTCAAAAATATTTCAAAACATTTTAAGAAATCTCCCCATGACGTTAATATTTTCGCTGATAAATGCTATTGTCTATTATTTATAGCATCTGGATGGTGGACTTTGTTTTCTTAAAATCCGTTTTAGTCAAATAGAATTCTAATCTATTGCTCCAAAAACAAAATATTTCAGATTACAAAAATTAGGTCATAAGGTTGGTTATGTACACATGGGAATACCTTTACCCCTGAGATTTTGTAAAATATTAATTATTGGAAAAAGTAATTAATTTTTGCTTACATCTGTCGAATGAACTACGAATGAGTCATGGTTTTAGTTTTACAAAGCGTGTCTGTAATTAATAAAAATGTAATATATTTCTCTTTCCGGTTGAACAAAGCCACAACCAGTTGTTAGGCGCTATGGGAGAGTTTTGGAGAAAAAAGCCAAGCTTGAAGGCAGTTTCAATTGGCCTGGCAACATGTTGAGTTGTTTGTTTATCGCCTCTGGGTTGATGTATGTTGCTAAGGCAGAGTCCCCCACTATATGGAATAACGACAAAACACCTCCAGTTGCTGTTGGGGGTCGGCAGTAACCACTTTGATTTGAAATCTCGTGCGTAAGTAAAGCCAAAGTCAAGATCATTCCAAGCCGGACTCTGGCGGCATGCTCTTATCATCGCCCAGCCACGGATGGCAGTGACGAAGGCGCTGCGGGGTTATCGCTGATTTGACCAATATTTGTGCCGCGGTGATTCAATTGCATCGAAAGTATTATACGCGGACCAACGATTTGCTGATTATTCGAGGGGACTCGAAAAACTCGCGCTCACAGAAGGTTTCTTTGTTGCTCGCCAACCGGGACTGGGATTAGTAAACATTTGTGCTTCGTATCGGACAGACCCATAAGTAGTGCTTCACTCAAAAAATAATATATAATTAAACAATGAGAGAAATGTCGGGGAATATACTATTAGCCGTAGTGTGCCTGTGCCTTATACAAACCCGAATCGCCGCGAGTTTGTCATTTTCGTGGGACAACCTCTCCCTCTTCAATGTCAACTTCAAGACCCCCACCATCCTGGGGCGCTCCATTGCCATGGACAGCAATCTGAGGGTGGAGAACGAGGTGGATCCCAATATCGATGAGGACTCACATTTGAACACGGTAAGCTCAAAACCGGAAGTCTGAAGTGCAAATTAGTTAATGGAATAAATGCTGAATGTGTCCACAAATGAAAAGTTAAATTATTGCTAATTATCTGAGCGCAAAAAATTGCTGGTATTTATCGTTTTTTATGTAAAGTCTTTATTATACCTATTTTTTTTAATGTATGTAAGTATGTAGTGTAGTTTAAACATATTTTTCACTTCTGAAATGATTAAATGCTGTTGGAGAAAAAACTATAAACTGTTAAATAGTCAGTAAAGAGTATGAGCTTAGTCATTTATTTCTCATAAAAGTTTTGTTTAAAAAGTAAGCTGATTTTTAGTAAGATTGTTGGGGAAATGTTAAACACGTGCAGGGGCTTTTCCCTTATAAATTTATAGACACGTAATTCATAAGGTAACCGAATAATGATCAATAAACTCTAAAGAAAAGCAATAAAATTATATTAATTTAATTTACAGTACGGCTTAATTCACAAATATGGTTATCCGGCGGAGAATCACACCGTGGAGACGGACGATGGCTACATACTCACCTTGCACAGGATAGCTCGTCCTGGAGCCATTCCTGTGCTACTGGTTCATGGGCTACTGGACAGTTCCGCCACCTGGGTGATGATGGGCCCCAACAAAGCGTTAGGTTAGGATCAAATGTCTATTTTGATTACCTCATACTGATAGCAATATTCTGTTCCAAAGGTTACCTGCTCTACGATCAGGGCTACGATGTCTGGATGGCCAATGTCCGGGGTAACACATACTCCCGGAAACATGTCAAGTACAGCACCCACCACGCCAAGTTCTGGGACTTTACGTTCCACGAGATGGGCAAACACGACATTCCCAGCACCATTGACTACGTCCTGAACTACACTGGAGTTAGCCAGATACATTATATTGGACATTCCCAGGGAACGGTTGTCTTCTGGATCATGGCCAGTGAGAGGCCGGAGTACATGGATAAAATAATCCTGATGCAGGCCTTGGCTCCAGTGGCCTATTTGAAGCATTGCCGGAGTCCTGTGGTCAACTTCCTGGCGGAGTGGCACTTATCGGTGAGCGTAAGTTTCCCCATCCAATTAATCCCATCCATTTCCAAAGGGGGGTTCAGGCAGAGGAGATTCCCCAGTAGTTAAAATCCTTCCCTAAACCCTCTTCACTCTTTAATCCTTTCCATTAACTCACTCCTTACTAAAATCCTTCCACCATTTATACAGTTGGTTCTCAAGTTGATCGGCGTCCATGAGTTTTTGCCCAAAAACGAATTCATCACCATGTTCAATCGGATTGTGTGCGACGAGACAACCATTACCAAGGAGATCTGCTCCAATGTGATCTTCCTGACCACAGGATTCGATAAGCTGCAGCTGAACGAAACCATGCTTCCTGTGATTGTGGGACACTCTCCGGCCGGGGCATCCACCAAACAAATGCAGCACTTCGGTCAGTTGAATAGGTCCGGAGCCTTCCGGCAGTTCGATCACGGCTGGCTGAGGAATCACTGGATTTATGGCACCTTGGAACCACCCTCCTACCAACTTCAGAACGTGAAGGCCAAGGTGGCCCTCTATTATGGCCAAAATGATTGGCTGGCCCCGCCGGAGGACGTGGAAATGTTGCATAGCCGGCTGCCGAATGTGATCACCAAATATCTGGTCGATGACAAGGAGTTCAACCACCTGGACTTCATCTGGGGCATCGATGCCAAGGAACTCCTTTGGGATAGGATGTTTGAAACTATGAAAAACGAAGAGAATTCCGTGCTTTAGGGTGGTAGAGCTATCCTCTGAGATGAAAATGCAGTATATATCATATTAAATAAGTTTGTTAGATAGGTATTTATTATGTAGTACGACTAATTTAACTTTAAAATACAAACAAATAAATTATAAAATGCTAAATAAATAAAAAAATTTAAAAATATTAAAAAAAACACCTGAAAATATGGGTTATTTTTCTTATTTTAATTGTAAATGTATTGTTATTTAGTAGATATTTTATACCTCTTTATATAAAAGTATTTAAAAATATTTTTGCTGCATAGTGTCTTCTGGATGCACTTATTCGAATAATGGTAATATGTTTATGCCCAATATTGGTAATGGTCTAGGAAAGTATCTTTTGAAGTTGAATTGCTATACAGTATTACAAATAACTTAAAACTTAATGACATGTTTCAAAAATTAAATCTGTTAAGTGCAGCTTAAATAATATTATTAGTAAAGGTTAAAGTCATATGCACTAGACGAGGCACTTAAACATTTAGACTAGATATACCTTAACAATTAAAAAGACACACATTTCAAATTAGTTATAGTTTTCAGAAATGACTGACTAGGTCAAGGTGAAAGGTATATGACTAAATAATATTTAGAGATGATATTGTAATCTTATTGTGATTCTAAATTTGTAAAAGATACATAATAGTGACCGACTAAAAGCGTATATTTCCAGTTCCAACTAATTTATTAATATGGATATCCTCCTGAAAACTATACCGTAAAGACAGACGATGAATATTTACTGGGCCTCTACAGAATCGCTCGAGGTGGAGCAGTTCCTGTGTTAATGGTTCATGGATTACTGGATTCCTCGGCCACTTGGGTGATGATGGGACAACGCATGTCCTTAGGGAATTACCGAACCTTGTCTACAAGTACCTTGTACCCCACGAAAATTTCAGTTACTTGGATCCAATTTGGGGCATCGAAGCCAAGAAATTTGGAATCGAATGATAGAAGTTATGAAGTTTTATGAAAAACTTACGAATAGTCTTTATCAATACTTTGTAACATAAAAATAATATTTAATATTGATCCTACAAGTTTCGGGAGAAAAAATAAGTCAATAAATGGGCTGTGCAACGAATCAGTATTTTTATAAATATTTTTTTATCTGTTCTATGAAATTCCATTCTATTTAATTAAGTAAACTGTTGAAACACTGTCTCAAGTTAGTGTGTTTCGATTTGTAGTTAATTTATTTAATTAGAACTAGCTTTTGAGCTTAGAGTGCACTTGAACGTCATCACTTATGGGTAAGTATGCCACTTATCTGTTCATGAATGAGTTACCCGGCTTTCACATCAATTTCGCACGACCTTCTACTACGGTTGTCAACATTTTTTTATTTACATCTGCATCGCTCGTAAAACTTGTTTAATATATTCTAAACAATAAAAGAGAGAATTATTTTATGCATATTGATTGCCCCGATTCATGTGAGATCCAAAATGCAATCGGGTCAAGGAGGGGAGCGGGAGGCTAACAAGCCTTGCCAACTAAAATTAGTCGATCGTATCAAATACGGCACACGATTTAATTCCTGTGTTCAGTGGGAGCTGATCAAGCAACGGGAGTAGTTACTATAACTAACTATTATAAACTAAATGTATAAAACAAGCCAGAAAATAGCTTAAAAATATATAAAATTAATCCTTTAAACATAAATACATAGAAGTTCATAAAAAATTAAGTGAATTAAAACCGAAATTTGTACAAAACATTTATAGAAAACAATTATTACAAATTAATATGTGCAAAATATTGTAAAAACAACTAAATATAAAAACCAAAAACTTTATTTAAGTTAATCTATCATAAATTTATCCTAACCAAGAAATAAATGAAATACAGAATCCCTGAGAAGACCCTGGAGTGTCTCCTAAAAAATCTTCGTTATTTTTAACTGTGCTAAAAAAATTGTATTAACGGAAATGCTTACAATTAAAAATTGTAATACCTTCCTAATATTCCTCATATACTTGCATTTTAATTTAATTTCAAGTGATTTAATTAAATATAACAAGAGAATAATACAAGATGCCAATCTGTTAGTGGTAAGTAGAAAATTATTTATTAAAAATGCAAGTTCAAATAAAAAAAAGTTATACTAACTTGTAGCCCGATCTAATCAAAAGATATGATTATCCTGCGGAAACACACAAGATCCTGGCCAAGGATGGCTTTGTGCTGACAGCTCACCGTATTCCCAAGCAGGGTGGACAACCTGTTTTGATGGTCCATGGGCTTTTCGACAGTTCAATAGCTTATGTGGTTCTAGGCCCTAAGAAATCCTTGGCATTTCTGCTCAACGATCTTGGCTATGATGTTTGGTTGCTTAACACCCGTGGAAATCGGTATTCCCGAAAGCACAAAAGATTCCATCGATATCAGCCACAGTTTTGGGACTTTTCTTTCCACGAACTGGGCATATATGATCTTCCTGCTGCCATTGATTATATCCTGGACAGGAGTAAGGGATATCAGCAAGTCCACTATGTCGGACACTCGCAGGGCACAACCGCGTTCTTTGTTATGGGAAGTGAGAGACGCAGTTATATGAAAAAAGTGAAGCTTATGACGGCCTTGGCTCCTGTGGCCTATTTTGACTTTATTGAGAACCCGATTGCTTTGACTTTTGCAAAGTACGTCCCAACCTTGGCAGTAAGTTATCCAAATCACAACAAAAAAAATAGTCACTAATCTTTAAACCCGTACAGCTTCTGGCCAAAACCTTTGGAATTCACGAATTTCCGCCGGAAAACGAAGTGTGGCGAAGGCTCATTTATCAACTATGCAGCTTTGCTTTTCGAAATACATGCACTTATTTTCTTTTTGAATTAATGGGGGTAGACTATCAGCAGTACAACTCAAGTCTTACTCCACTTTTTCTGGGACACACTCCCGCAGGATCTTCGACAAAGTCTGTAGAGCACTATGCCCAACAGATACACAGTGGAGGCTTCTACAAATTCAATTATCATAATGTTTGGGAGAACCGACGACGACACGGATCGGATCTTCCGACACAATACAATGTGGCTTCCATCGACTGTAAGGTAGCTCTGTATTATGGAAAAAATGATCGATTTACGTCAGTCAAAGATGTTCAACGACTACGAGATGCTCTACCCAACGTGGTGCATGAGAATCTTCTTAAAAGCGAAAGGTACAATCACATTAATTTTATTTATGGAAACGATGTTAAAACTGTGCTCTATGATGATGTGATAGAGGTGATGCGAAAAGTTGACAGTGGGGAGTTGTAGATAAAGTTTAAAACTAAGTTAATATTCTTTAGTCTTATTGTAATAAGTTATGCGGCTCATTTACATTATTGTATTTCTATAAAATATCAGATTAATATAAATCATTGTCATTTAAAGACAAAATTCAAATTAATTTTGAACAAGTTTAAAGCTGATATATACAACGTATTGAAAATGTATTTATTTTTCAAGTAAATTAATCTTTAAGCTTCTTGATGATTAGCATTTATTATTAATTACATATATGTATCAACTAAGCTTTCATATTAATTTTGTTCGACCTTATCAAACTCAAAAACTGCTTTGTAAATCTGTTATATATAGAAGTATATATATACCAATTATATGTTTATCGATTGCACAAATTAAATTTAATTGTTATTTTATATTTAAGAAGGGAGACGAGTTAATAAAAGTTGCCTAAAGTGTTCAGTGCCGATTGATCGCGCATTGGGAGCAGTTCATATTTTTATGTTAAAAGGTTATGACTAAAGTGAAAAATAAATTTTAATTCCTGAAGATCAGGATATTTAAAAGGAACTAATGAAACGAATATGTGTACAAAAATTTAACTTGTTTGTGTCGAGTCTGTGAATCTTTCTAGAATCGTTTCCGAATGATGTGAAATTCAAATCAATTTTCTATGTGCGCTGTAATCGAAGCACATGTTGCCATAAGTATTTGATTGGCCAATTTTGTTTGCTTAAATTAGTTCAATTTACATTTTTAAAATGCTTGAAACAAAAAATGTGAAACTTTTGTGTGGGATTTTGTTCTCATTTTACATGCATTTTAATTTTATTTCCTGCGATTTGATTCAATATAATGAAGTAATTTTAGAAGATGCCAACCTGCTTGTGGTAAGTTTAGTGTTTGATAGAATAAAAATTAAATTTAATATTATATGCACCTTTAGCCAGATCTGATAAAAAAGTATGAATATCCTGTGGAAGTTCACAAGATCCTGACGAAGGATGGTTTCATACTCACAGCTCATCGCATTCCCAAATCTGGCAGGCAGCCAGTGCTGATGGTCCACGGCCTATTGGACAGTTCTGCTGGCTTTGTTATCCTGGGACCCAAAAAGTCCCTGGCCTTCTTACTTAGTGATTTAGGTTACGATATTTGGCTTCTTAATACCCGTGGTAATCGATATTCCCGCAAACACCAAAGATTCCACCGATATGAATCGGAATTCTGGAATTTTTCATTTCACGAGCTGGGAATATACGATCTGCCTGCAACTATTGACTATATCCTTTCAAGGAGTAAAGGATTTGAGCAGTTGCACTATATAGGGCACTCTCAAGGAACCACATCCTTTTTTGTGATGGGCAGTGAAAGGCCAAAATATATGAAAAAGATGAAACTAATGCAGGCTCTGGCTCCGGTAACTACTTGGTACAATAATGGTAATCCTATTGCGAGGACGTTTGCTAAATACATCCGACCGTTGACTGTAAGTTTGATTTTTTAAAAAATAAAGTTAACAGATTATTACTTATTTTACTTTCAGAGCCTTGCCAAGTCCTTTGGCATTTACGAACTGCCACCTGAGAATGAAGTTTGGCGAAGACTTTATTACAACCTTTGCAGTTTTGCTTTTCCCAATACGTGCACATATATTTTATTTGAGCTTTTCGGCGTCAACTATCAGCAGTTTAATTCCAGTCTTATTCCTCTTTTTCTGGGCCATGCAGCTGCAGGATCTTCAGTGAAGTCCTTGCTGCATTACCTCCAGATGGTTTACAACGAGGGATTTTTAAAGTACGACTACTACGAACAAAATCCACGTATTTATGGAAGTGAAAACCCTCCACAGTATAATCTAGCTACTGTGGATTGCAAAATAGCTCTTCATTACAGTAAAAATGATAAACTGACGGCTGCTATAGATGTTCAAAGTTTGCGTGATTCTCTTCCCAATGTGGTCCTCGACAATTTGATACCAAACGAACGCTTTAATCATGTTGATTTTATTTGGTCAAATGATGTCAAAACAATGCTGTACGATTATGTGATGGAACTTATGCAAAAAGTGGATAATGGAAAGGTATAGGGAAGCTCTAAGGATTATTTAAAAACGGAAAGAGATTTAAATATATAAGCATATAATCCTTTAAGAAACCATAACCTACCATAACTGCCATTAAAATTAGGTTGGCAAAACTAAAGCTCCCATGAGAAAATTAACAAATTGTTAACAATAATGCCAAAGTGGCCAGAGTAGTTACACTAATTGGAATATTTGGAAGCCCATTTAATCTCTTCATAAGCCTCTTTGATTACTCAAATTGTTTGCATTCTGAAAATGCCACTATATTTATATAAACTTGAAAGCAAATGCTTCCTTAAAGCACTAGAAATACACAGATAAAGCAAATATAGTTTCCTTACTAACTCACTCAACGGCAAACACATTTTAAATTACCATGCAATGCATTTAAACATGAAATCAGATTAAATATTTAAATCGGGCAAGAGGCTTGTGGTGTGCCAAAAAAATAGCAGAATCTTTCTGCATATGGTGATAATATATTTCCATACAGCTGGCGGAAATTTATTGCAAGTACATTTTATTTAAAACTCCATTGCATTTGACACTTGGAAGTAGAGGAGAGGACCCCTGAGCTCTGTACGATTGCCAAAAAACTGAAATTGCAACTGACATTGGCACATGTGTGTAGGTTTGTCCTTTTTTTGTGGAGCTCTGCCTGGGCACAACCACAAGAAAATAAAAGTGTCACTCTATAGATGCAAACTTAATTGTTTGCAGTCTGAGTCCGAAACCAGGGGCACAAACAAAAGCATTCGCATTCGATATCGTGCCGCACAGGCCGAGGCTGCCACAAGTTTCTATTTCTCAAATAAAAGCCGAACAAACTAAACACAAAACTATAGAAAACTGGTTGATTGCACAAAAGCTACTACGTTTATGTGGCAAATCATTTTAAAGTGAGTTAGTTCTGAGCTGATTGCGTGAGATAGTCAGGAAGCGATAGATCTCTACCCCTAAGTGATTACCAACAAGGTTAGTTAATAGTAGCTCTGAAAAAATAGATCTAATTGGAGGCGACTTATATGGGTTAATTGGTTAAATAGTTTATGATATTTGCGGAATGTGAATAAATGATTAGTTTGTGGCCTATATTTTTAATTCATAAGAGATCTTTGGAAGGCAGTTATTTATATTTATAGAGACAACTTTGAAAATAATTGATTTAATATTGGCATACTTATATCATCTTAAATTTTTATAAAGAACATTTTAAGGTCTTGGAAAAATTGAAACTTGAACACTTTACTCACGAGTTTCTTGAGCCTGAGCATCGCTGAAAGCAAAAATCATTTTACACTTGCTTGTAAGCTGCAACGTGTCGGCTACTTGATGTGGTGGCATGCTACCTCCCCAACGTTTTGTTCTCCGGACCCGGCTGTATGTCTCTGCGGTCTCCGCCCTCATGTCGCCGACGCCTGCTGATGTCCTGGCTTATGTCAGGAACCCGAGTGTTGTTCTTACAGGCAACCGGAGGCAACAGGCGAGGCAAGGACTATCGCCTGGAATCATTCAGACTCAGTTGGCTGGCGACCGGGAGTATCAATCATGTCACTTGACCGAGCGGAAATCGAGTTCTCAGAGAAATGCAAATGGGACTTGGCCTCATAAAGTTTCGCCGAAGAGGGGCAGGACCTGAGAAGAGCTTCCTTTTTGGCAGAAAATTAAATTGAGCCCCGTTTTTGGATGTGGTGGGAAATTCGTTAAAATTCTATGGGTGCCATTGTTTTAATGCATTTGCATGTTTGTCCTGGGCCTGGCCCTATACCTCGGACTCTGATTAGGAGTCTTTTGTCCAGGAGTGCCTTGGAGTACAGGAGCACATCGCCAGCGGAAAACAAAAGCCGAGGCCAGAAAACCAATCGAAGTCATTTGAAGATTTGCGATCCGATTTGCATTTGAATGGGCCAAATGGGAAAAGTTTGAGTGTTTGGTTTTCTTTTTTTTCTTTGGCCAGGCTTAGGTCAAGGACCAGCTGTTGTGGCAGGCGGAAGAGGCGCCCCACGCCTCCGGCATTGTTATGCGATTGTTTTGGGGGAGGCAACTATCAACAACTGAAACTACAAAACCAGAAATAGCCCGAAAACCCCTTGGCTTGTCAGCTGCACAAGTGGGAAGAGTTAAGCCAAATCTGTTGCCTACTTTTGGGCGTTCCATGGATAAATCTCCTCCCACTCGATTTAGTGAAAAATAAACATTAAATTAAAACAGCAAAGCAAAAAATGATGTCAGTTTAAAATTTTTGTTGAATTATTTATTAATAGTTTTATTAAAAACCTGCCAAGCTGCCAGTCAATCGTAAAAATATTTAAAAGCGTTGGCCAAAAACATAAATCGATTTGCACTTTGAAATTATGAGCTGTCAACCAAATAATATTTTCATTTTCAAATGCATGCTTTTATTATTTATTCTCTAATTGTTCAAAAACCACCAAGTGACAGTACGTAAGCTACTCTTAAGGTACGTCTTTAAAATGCTTTAATGCATTTACAATTGGCTTACAACTAAATCCTTTTAAGTCTCCTTAAGTTATTTTACCTGCATTAAGAATATAGGAATCCGCAGTTTGTTCAGTTCAAGGAGAGCAAGCAAACAGAAAATTGTTGCCCATCAATTTTCCTGTTCCGCTGTTGCGGGCTAATTGAAAATAATTTTTGCTAACGATAGCCAACCCAAAAGAAACTAACAAAAGAGTGACTTACAGCATTGTTGCTCATGCACAGTGGTTCTTAGCAAGGCATTTTTGGTACCATGTAAAATAAAATTTAATATAATGTTGTTTTTCCAAAATTTTGTTGCATTCTTTTTCAGAATTGAATTAGAAATCGTTCAAGGTATCCCGCTCAAAAATCAGATGAAAATTAAAAAAGATATAGCCATCGCTTGGGTTCATATTGTCGTTTCCATAGACCTTATAGGGGGACCCATAGTTTGAAAGGGTCCTCATAGAAAATTTGACAAAAAATCTGAAAAAAAATGTGTTGCTAGGTTTTGATGCAGTCTTATTCAGAATTGAATTACCAATCGTTCAAGGTATCCCGTTCAAGAATCTGATGAAAAGTAAAAAAGATATAGCCATCGCTTGGGTTCATATTGTCGTTTCCATAGACCTTATAGGGGGACCCATATTTTGAAAGGGTCCTCATAGAAAATTTGACAAAAAAACTGAAAAAAAATGTGTTGCTAGGTTTTGATGCAGTCTTATTCAGAATTGAATTACGAATCGTTTAAGGTATCCCGCTCAAGAATCAGATGAAAATTGAAAAAGATATAGCCATCGCTTGAGTTCATATTGTCGTTTCCATAGTCCTTATTGGGGGACCCATATTTTGAAAGGGTCCTCATAGAAAATTTGACAAAAAATCTGAAAAAAAATGTGTTGCTAGGTTTTGATGCAGTCTTATTCAGAATTGAATTACAAATCGTTAAAGGTATCCCGCTCAAGAATCTGATGAAATTGAAAATTATGGGCATTTTTGAAAGGGTCCTCATAGAAATTTGAAAAAATCTAAAAAATTGTTGCTAGGTTTTGATGCAGTCTTATTCAGAATTGAATTACAAATCGTTAAAGGTATCCCGCTCAAGAATCTGATGAAAATTGAAAAAGATATAGCCATCGCTTGAGTTCATATTGTCGTTTCCATAGAGTTTAGAGGGGGCCCCATATTTTGAAAGGGTCCTCATAGAAAATTTGACAAAAAATCTGAAAAAAAATTTGTTGCTTGGTTTTGATGCAGTCTTATTCAGAATTGAATTACAATCGTTCAAGGTATCCCGCTCAAGAATCGATGAAAATTGAAAAGATATAGCCATCGCTTGAGTTCATATTGTCGTTTCCATAGACCCCATAGGGGAACCCATATTTTGAAAGGGTCCTCATAGAAAATTTGACAAAAAATCTGAAAAAAAATTTGTTGCTTGGTTTTGATGCAGTCTTATTCAGAATTGAATTACCAATCGTTCAAGGTATCCCGCTCAAGAATCAGATGAAAATTGAAAAAGATATAGCCATCGCTTGAGTTCATATTGTCGTATCCATAGACCTTATAGGGGGACCCATATTTTGAAAGGGTCCTCATAGAAAATTTGACAAAAAATCTGAAAAAAATTTGTTGCTTGGTTTTGATGCAGTCTTATTCAGAATTGAATTACCAATCGTTCAAGGTATCCCGCTCAAGAATCAGATGAAAATTGAAAAAGATATAGCCATCGCTTGAGTTCATATTGTCGTATCCATAGACCTTATAGGGGGACCCATATTTTGAAAGGGTCCTCATAGAAAATTTGACAAAAAATCTAAAAAAAAATGTGTTGCTAGGTTTTGATGCAGTCTTATTCAGAATTGAATTACAAATCGTTAAAGGTATCCCGCTCAAGAATCTGATGAAAATTGAAAAAGATATAGCCATCGCTTGAGTTCATATTGTCGTTTCCGTAGACCCCATAGGGGGGGCCATATTTTAAAGGGGTCTTCATAGAAAATTTGACTAGCCATTTATTGCTTTTAGACAAAAATTCTCCGAAAGATATAAACATAATCCTCACCACTGTGCACCAGCAAACTTAATGAAAAATCAAACCTGGGAAGAGCAGTGAGGAGAGGAAGGTAAAAGTACGAACTGTCAGAAGCCAAGAGGTGCAAGTGCAGGTCGAAGCCACAGAGGACTCATTGGTTTCGTTTCTTTCTTTTGGTCCTGGAGGGAAACGCATGTCAGGCGAGCAGTCGAGCAGCCAACCGGAAGTGCTTAACAGCAACACCCATACACACAACCACACAAGCCCCCCATATATATTCCCTGGAAACAAAAGGAAAAAATCCAAGCTTAAGAAAAATGAAGAAGAAAATTCTTTGGGTTAGTTTTCCTCGGTAAACTTGCAGCAAACTAAAGTAAACTAAAATAATTTTGTAAATACACGTACACAGGTAAAAGGTACTTATGTGTATAAATCAATGGATGTGTGTGTGTAAGCTTTTTCCCGCCCACCTGGCCAACTGCTGTTG